ACGACCGGCGCGCGGCGTTGCGAACTGTGTATGTTCGATAACGAAATTTATATATAGGGTGTCTTGACTGTACCGCGTTATGTCAATTTCAAATAAAAATCGAGATTTTAACACCGTTTGTCGGAACTAAGGGGAAACTAATCAGATAGATAGTATTTATATTTATTTATTTATTATTATTATTTCTATTTCTTCAGAAGACAAGTTTCAGATGTGATGTTCACCGATTTTAATGAAACTTAGCAGATTAAGAGTAACCATAATTTCAGCCGTAAATGGTCAGTCAATTTTGAGAAAATTATATTTAACCGTTCTAGTGATTTTGAGAGATTTTTTGTTTATCGTAATATTTGTCCCTTTTAAACAAATAATGTTTTCCTGTTACACGTTTGTTACTATCGGAAACAAGCGAAATTTAGTTCGACCAAGTTATGTGGAACTCCTTGTATATTGTACGTTATCTTATCGATATTTCTTTTTTTGTATGTATTTTGATGTCTACTCCAATCGATATCGAGTGAAACTGCCATAAATAAAACAGAATCCCACCTGACTAAATGGATTTTACTGTATCACAAAGATTGTTTAACCCCAATCCTACAGAGATGATATTTTGTGTCGTATATCAAGTTTGAGTAACTGAAAGGTCGAGTTCATTTTTATAGTAATAAATATAATTTAATAATAAATTTGATATCCTTGCTTTGGAGGTTGGTACTCATTAAAATGAATCGATTCAATTAAAAATTTTTCGGGGTCAACATAAAATCTGCTTTTTATCTGGGTTTTTAAAAATATACTAACGATTATTATTATCAATTAGATTAGTCGCTCTGTCAATTGCCGCTGGACTCAGACGTTTGAATTCATGGTATTTCAATTACATGACGTTTAATCTTATTTAGTCTTTAACCTTATTTATTTGATAGGCTATAAGGCAAAAATAAATAATTATGATTAGGACAACTTGCATTCGATCGTTAGCATAATGTGAATCAGGGCCTAAACTTATTTTTTCTTTTAATGGAAGGTTATTCTACCTATTTTAACCAATTGGATTTAGAAATTAGATGTTGTAGAGGTAACAGAAAAAGAAATCAACGATAAAAACGATAATTTTAATTTATATTTGGGGCTCAAACATTTCCCTTTTCCTTAAACGTCCGATTACTGAGACATCTTGATATTCTCTAACTAAAATTATTTTTTACTTAAATGGAAGGGTACTCTACCTATTTCAACCAATCTAATATAGAAATTAGATGTAAGAGAAAAATAAATCAACGATAAAAACGATCATTTTAATCCACGTTTGGGGCTTACAATATTTTACTTTTTTTAAACCTAATAATTCTTACACGATTAAAATTGTCTTTATCAAAATTAATAGATACAAATAAAAATAACATTGTACGGATAAGGGTGACAAAAATAAATCAGCAACGGACCAACAGGGCACAGGATACTTTAACGGGCTCCATATTCGATGCGAAATATTGTAGAGCTTCGATGTCCATATTTGATTCTGTACAACGGACGAGCGTACCATCTTGCGAAACGATGGTGTGGCTGTTGCGCGACCGAAAAAACATCCCAAAAACGAGCGAAAGTATCACGGACAGCACCCAAGATTTTTGCCCAAAAATGATACATAGAAAGAACCAATTACTAACAATAAAAACGCCACGTTATTCCCCCTTTATTCATCTACAATATTTTTTTAATCCTCAATGTTAGTTCGTGTTAGCGTCGATTCAGATTTACTTTAATTTCCGTTTCGAAAATGATATTATAAAATATATTTTACGATAAGAAATGGATAATCCACACGTGCTACTGTAAGATAAATTTTTCTCTATCTTGCAGAATAAAATTTTGTAAAAATCGTTCCGATACACAATAAAATAATTATATATTATCCGTTTGTATTACAAATATTAATCTGATACGGAGAATCTGTGCCGCCGTGTTAGCATGGTACAAATTCCGTTATATCTTTTATAATAGAATTTTGCAAAGTACTGTGACCGTATTCGTTTATGTTAATTTCGAGTTGCATCCTCCTGCAAAATTTGTGGGCGCGCCAACTGGTGCCGCACATTTTTCCACGAGCTCTCGACCGTTCGTCCGTCGATTCGAAAGCGGGACCACACGGTAATTACCGCTAATCGCGACCAACTAATTGCAACTAAATTGAAGGAACGAGATCCACGTGCCTCGATCACCGCGGCGCGGACGCGCGGTCGAAAGGTACGACTGTGATAGCTGTTCGTGGCGCCATTAACATTGGCCGCACGATACAAATAAGGTACCGTTGCATTCGTTCTACGTTGCATTCCGCCGTCACGAGCTCACAGATTGACACTGACGACCTGCATCGTCTAGAAATCGAAACGTGCCACGGCTGCGAATGCTCTTAGCAACGCTCGATCTGGTACAGTAGCGCGTCTTTGCCTTCTTTTTTTTTTCTCTCCTCCTTTTGCAAAACACCGACCCACGAGGATTTCGCCGCTTGATCGGGGATCTCGCCTCGTTCGATCCACGCGACGAAACGCGATCGCGCGAATTTTCTGCCCGTGGAACCACGAAACGAGCATATTTTTATTTATTAGATTCTTTGTTCGATCCCTTTGCAAACGAATTTTTAGTCTATTCGAAAAATTTAGTGTTAAATGCTACGAGGGGAGATCGTAAAAGAGAATTCTCCGTTCGTGTTAATAGCTGTAAAAAAATTTATGTTTCCGAAATTTGAAGTCAGATATATTGTATGCAGGAAATTTCTTTCAAATTTTTATTCGTTGTTCGAAGTAAAATGTCCTGTTGAAGACATGGTCGATATTTTTCACGGCTGCTGCCCCGTTCGGCAGCCATCTTGGTGACTCGAGCGTTCCACGATTTTTCGAATTCCGTCGCCGAATCTAATCGATAATGGGGAACCGACAGTTTTCGTTCGTTGATTGCTGTAACTGTGTAGCAACTGTTGACCAGCATGTGGTTTTCGAAACGATCGTTAACGCTGACCGCTTCTGATCCGCCATTTTTCAGGCTTTGCAATCCCCGGCTAAAAAATCGAGTCGAACGATGCAAGTCAAACTCTGTATTTTTTGCTTCGTAGATCGTTGATAACTTGTAAACAGACAATGTTTTATTAAACCACCCAAAACAAAAAATAAAATTTCACTCTCGAATGGCGGAGTCTGGGTCCACTTTGACCCACATCTGAGTTCTATTATTCTTCATTCCAATACAAGGTTTTCGTTTGAATTTTTGCGTTATTCTATTCCTAAATTCTTCGTATATTAATTCTGTCGATTTTATATTTATCGAAAAGACTTTAAAAGAAATAGTTTACAAAAAAGACACCTTCTGGTCAACATAACTGTTATAACGTATGTTTCCTTGGAAGCTCTAGTGTGACAAATCGGTCATTCCGTCCAGGATTGCTTTGAAATGTAAATTGTACGTTGTTTAGTACAGTTAAATACACACATATATATATGGTAAAACCTAACTCACTTGGATTTTTGTAAACACTCTTGTTTCACGGTTTAACTAAACAAGAATCTCGACATTAAATTTTAATAATTTTAACATAATGAGCGACGGCTGGTAGAGCACTAATGGAACACAAACATCACGCTACTTGAACAGATGAAAAACAAATATGGTGGCTGTGACAACTTGAAAGTTCTATCTCTCTTATTTGGAAGACCTTGAGTGCTACGAAGGTTTAGATGAAAAATGATTTCGTATACGGGGTATAAGTTTCTACCGGTATGGAGCTATGCGTAGGAACGTAGGTTGGGAAGGATAATAGGGAGGCGAGGATTTCGACTCGTGGATCCAAACGAGCCTCGACGGGACAAACAACGCGAGACAAGAGGCGTTTGGCATGGCGAATAATTATAACCCTTTGTCGACCGCGATCGAAGTTGACTCACTCGTTCGTGACTCATTTCTCTCTTTCCGGGTGTAGACGTGTTCGGAGGAGAGGCCTTCGCGGTCGTTCTGTTCAAGATCCGCGACCTTATTCGCCATCCGACGTAGCAGCCTTGCCAATTATCGACGAGCAAACGCGCGACTACGACGGCCTTCGGTTATCTGTGGGTCAACCGAGAAATCGTGTACCAACCGATGTATCGACAGCTTCGCGGAACAGAACTAATTGCAATTCAAACGCCGATCGACCGCCGCAGCAAACAATCGCGAGAACGTTTGAGGCTTTCCCTCGAGATCTCCGACCTTCATCGAACAGAAACGATGATTTATTTATTTATTTCGGTTACGAGCGCGATAGATCAAGACCGAGGAGACTACGATCTTGTGTGCCCGTTTGCGATATGAGGCCATTTGCTTCGGTTTTACGAGGACTATCCAAACAACTTTCAAAAAAAACTACCTTCTTAACTTCTTACGCGAAAGATTGGACTCTGGATAATTTAATTAAAAAAAAGTGGAATTGATATTATCGTTAGTTTGTTGGAAAATAGCATGTATGACTTTGTTTGGTCCACCTGGTATGAGCCCGTATGAACATATGTATATGCTTTACAAATAAATAGATTAATAAATATTGGTCCTCGATGGAATTATATTATAGACCACTGTTTTTTAAAATAAGGATGATGGAAGAAATTTAATTTCTAATATTTTCTATTAATACGTATTGGTAACAGTTTCACTGGTATGTTTTTATCGAAGAAAATTGTATAAACATGATGTTACTTGAATTTTTGATATTTACTAGTGTAACAGTTTCTTAAGCACCTAATTCTATTCCAAGTACTATTGAATCGTGAAAAATGTGTAAATTTTGGGCTTACAAATATATATTTTTTTTTTTTTAGTCAAATGGCTTGAAAAGAATTCGTAATCCGCTGGTACAAAGAATCGATGTTCGTTACGAGATTATTTCTGGGATCACTACTCGCGTATCGGGATTAAATAAAGAGCAGCTGCACGGATTTGCAGAGAGTGATTTTAGCTCTTGGTTGTTTCAGATATGGCACAAACAGTGCTTCAAGTGTCAGGGTTGCGGAATGATCCTGAACATGCGAACATACAAGGGGTTCAACAAACAGCCATACTGTGAGGCGTAAGTAAAACAGTCTCTCGTACTTTTTATTACCCTTTTAAGCTTCTGCTGCGAAATGTTCTGCACTTCGCTCGTAAAACGACCGATTTGTGTAACCATCTTCGAAACCCTAATCGACGTTCCAAGTGTCTATTATTAAACGTTTCCTTAGAATAATTTTTAACGACGATATGCATGCACTTCAGAAACATCAATTATCTACACAGTCATTATTTATTTAAGAGAGTTTTCTTCGTGCTATTTCAATTGTGTATCCTTTTTAAATTCACTATTCTTTATTCCTTTTAGTAGAATCAGAATGAAAACCGATTAAGGAGTTTTTATTACCTGTCTTTAAACTTTCCGCTCTGAAATAATTATACATAAAATTAAAGTTCAAAACTATCAAGTTTTTTACTTCCCTGCTTCTACGGACCATAGACAAATTTTTAATTCGCGTTTTTAACTGTGAAGCAATTTAATCTAACACTGTACCTTCTATCTGTGTATTTATATATCAAATAAAGTTTTTGTTTTCTCAAATTTCTGCGAATGTTTTAGGAAAGTACATAGAACTCTGTTCAACTTTAATCACCTTTTAAAATTCAGATCCATGCCAAAAAGGCAACATTTTTGCATTGCAATTTATATTCCACTAGCAAAGAATAAAAATTATATAATTTTTGTCTTCCCAATTAATGCTAAAAATTTATCACCGAACGTTGGAGTTTGAACAACTACTCTCCTTCCGGGAAACGTGTCTACGGAGATTAATTTCTTCGATGAATCGCCTCGTTTAAATAGAACGACTATAATGCACTCTTTCATCGGAGTCGAAGGCGAATCTACGAGTTTCGAACTACATATTTCGCGAGCCACCAACGATTCTACGAACTATTCTCTCGTCAGCCTCGATGGCGAACACTCCAGCTGTCGAACTCTATAAATCACGGGTCATATCGAGACAGAAAAAAAAGCTCGACGTCGCTTTTACTCGCTGTCTAACGCAATTTACCTTCCAACGCGTCAAATCCTCAACGACCAGCAGCTTCGCGTGAGTTTGACGCCTAATAAACTGCGAGCCCATGACAGGAAGACCATGCTTCCATAGTCTTCGCAGGCTATACAGACGTCAGCCGCGTTCCCGCTCGTCAGTGTCGTAATCCTAAAACAATTAGCAAATGAGTTTTTGTTCAGCTGATATAGCTGTTCCTTTGCAGAAATTCTCTTTTATTTCGTTAGGATAATGCAATTGGCATTGAGAATAGGTTTTACCTTTTTTAATCATTTTTAAATTTGTAGCGAAACGCGTTTGAAATTAAAAAAAAAATTGTAGATTGAAAATTAATATACATATATCTGCATTGAAAATATAAAAATAAAATACTCAACAGGTGCTTCCAAACGTAAAACGTAGGTTTATCAATTATACTATTATGTTTTTAAATAACAGACTTCCAAAGCTAATTTTTGTTTCTAAATAAAGGCAAGGCTTCGTTTAAAATTGAACACGATGAGTTAAGAATAACTGACAAAGTATGAGAGTATAATTACTCGCTATTTAATTTTAAAAAAATAACACAATTATAAACAAATTTTAATTTCACTTTAAATGATATGGGAATTTAATAAATGATAAAAATAATCGTACCAAATTTTCATTATAGGAATATCGTTGTTTAAAACCAACTTTTTACTGTGTTCAGTAATGACGTCGCCCAATTACGAGCATTATGGCGGTCACCGCGTTAAATATGGGCGATAGACTCGTAACGTTTCCGTTCGCAAGTCGAGAGAAGCGTGGAACGGTGGATTTCGCCAGCCTCCGCAGCCGTATTGCGAATCTTTTGATAGTTAAACGCATGCCAGGCGTGTCGACGTAGCGAAAGCGAGCGGTCCTGCGGTCAGGATAATATATAGCTGTCGTACCTTTCCAAGAGATCCTCCTTTGATCGTGGTTCCTCACAGCTGCCGGCGTCCTTGCCGTGTCCACGGTAGCGGTGCATCGAACGACGCAGTTAACAGTAACGTTTCCAGTAAGGATTTCAGGTGAAAGGAACCGAAAGTATCGATGCTGTTGAACCGAGGTATCGGTTTGCGGCGATACGCAATCTCTGTTTCCTTTTATTTGCCGTCGACGGCGATAAGGAGTCCGGTCAACTTTTGCTCCTTCTATTAATTTAGACTACGAACACGGGTGCAAACGCAGCCCAGAGCTTCCAAAGTTTGTACACTCGACGCCATTCGTTTAGAAACTCGACCCTTCTTCGCGGCGTACTACATAGTACATACTTGCAAGCGACCATTCGCGAGCAGGAATCCATCGACGACCTCGATACAGCTCGCTCGGGTAGATCGATTATCCGACAAACATATCCGGTTACGATTTTGAACGTTTACTTTTACCGGTAGTCGATAAATTGTCGTCGGGCGACGCAACGAAATTGATATCCAGACCTATTCAATTTCGCGTCGCCGACGTAGATCAAAGGCGATCGTCACGAGGGGAAGGCCGAGGAAGGAGCGTGCAAAATCTAACGTTTCTTCGTGATAACTTCCCCACATCTTTTTAAAAATAATCCATTCGGAATCTGTTTCGAAAAATGTACGAAAGGTTTCATTAGAGAACAGTCTTTTAGAGGATGATTCTACGTGCCAAACATAACAAAATTAAGTTCAAGACTTTGCGTTAGGGTTATAAAAAAAGTAAGATTTTATTTTATTCGTTCGCTATTATGGAAAATAACTCTATGTTAGCTGCAACAATTTAATGTGTGATTTAATTCTCTGCGAGATTTATTTAAAATAGTTTTTAAATGTTTGTAAATATATGTCAAGAGAATGTAGATACTCCAAGAAATAACTGTCATTATTTATAGGGCATTTATGTGTTCAAAATTTAATCAGGCTTAAATTTTAAATAAATTTTCAATTTTTCGATCGAAAGAAAATGGTTCGCGTTTCGTGATGTATCGAGTAGGCTGATACTGTAATGGCGGTAAAGTTTAAACGTGTACGATAAAATGGGGGTTATGACCCCCGCACGAGAGGAATAAATTCGTTGCAACGACCGTTATGGGGTCGAGAGTTCTATGCGCGATTAATCGAAATTCTTCTATCCCCATCCGGTGTCCAAATAAGGAGCAACGATTCTCCGCTCGCCGACAACTTAATTCACGAACGAGAATAATCAATTTATTGCGGTTTCTTTGCGCGGCGAGTTATCGGTATGCAAGCGTCTCGCCGTAAAACGGTCCGGCGACTCGTGGAGTATTCGGAATGAGCATCTGCGATGACGAAATCGTTCCGACGCGTTTCGAATCTGCATTTCTTTGCTGTTACGTCTTTCCTACCGCGTAACCGTAGGCGATTCGCTGGGGAATGCGGATAAAAACTGTCTCACCCCGTCGATATCGACGCACAAACACCCCTTCTCCCAAATTCTCTTTCAGTGCCTGCAACAAATCATTGTACAAATCTATTAATTTTTAACTAGATTAATTTTAATCTAGAAGGAGTAAAACGAAAGCCATCAGATAGATATTTAAAGGAAATAGGGGTGGAAGCTCGAAATATGTGTTTCACTCTAACAAACAATCGCTGTACAAATCTATTAATTTTTAACTAGATTAATTGTAACCTTGTAAGAGTAAAACGAAAGTCATCAGACTATCAATTGTAGACATTGAAAGGAAATAGGGGTGAAGCTCGAAATATATGTTCCACTCTAGCAACAAATCGTTATACAAATCTATTAATTTTTTACTAGATTAATTGTATTCTAGTAGGAGTAAAACGAAATCCATCAGACTATCAGTTGTAGATATTTAAAGAAAATAGGGGTTGAAGCTCGAAATATGTGTTCCATTCTAAGCATAAAAAATGTATCTTATATATGATAATTCTCAGTGAAAACATTGCTGGGCTTATAAAGAAAAAATCACCTCTATTAGATTTTAATTTCAGGTAATTAATAGGAAAAATTTCAGAAGCTTTCTACTAGTGCTTTTGATGTTTTTAAAATAGAAATCTTTTGATAAGGAAAAACCATTTCTATTAGATTTTAATTTCAGGTAATTAATAGGAAAAATTTCAGAAGCTTTCCACTAGTGCTTTTGATATTTTAAAAAATAGAAATCTTTTGATAAGGAAAAACCACCCCTATTAGATTTTCATTTGAGATAATTAACACACAAAATTACAGAAACTTTCCAATGATGCTTTTGATGTTTTTAAAACAAACAATTTCCCTTCGCAGCTTTTTTTTTAATCAAACTACTGAATATAAAGTACCATAGATTTAAAAAAGTAATAAAATCTTTTTAATGTTAGCTTGCAATTTTCGTACAATCAAACCTATAATTCTTCCCTTTAAATCAACAAACTATCTCTCGAACATCTTGGCGACATAAATTTCTATGCTCAAGGTCGTTTGAAGGTCACCTCGTTTTAAACGTTTATTTTTCATCGATGCCTGCAATTTTAATCGATGATTCGAAGTAAGAGCTCCACAATTCGGCTCGAAATGATATTAATTTGATCTTTGTTGGGTTTTCGAAGTGTTCGAGCAGATTTGAATGGCTCGACGGTTCTGCAAATTACGCATAGCGAACATGGTTTGGACGAGCTTCGTATTCCGCGGCAGGAGCCAAGTCAGTGCATGTGTCAGCAATGCGTATCGAATCAGACGAGATGGACCGAATAAGCAAAGCAGAACACGTGTGAGTCGTGAGATTCATTCATTCGTCTGGTAGCCACCCTCCGCGTCCCTCGTCGCCCCTCGCCTTCATTTCCCTTGCTCTTTATCTTCCCCTTTTCTCGCGTCTGTCCATCGTTCATTTAATTTTTATAAGCCCGTATATAGGGTGATTCTAGCAACTGGGACAGGCCGCGTCTCCGGTCTCGTTACAGATTAAACGGAGGAGGAAAATGACCGGCGAACGAGGCTCGTCCTCCTGCGAGATCGTCCCAGTGCACCTGCAAATTTTTAACCATTAGTATCGTCGGACATTTTGGTATCC